TTCCCTACAATTGCAAAAGCTAAAAAGGGTCTTTTGTATTAATTTACTTGCAAGTGAGGAATTGCAGAAAACAGTCTAACCTATGAGCTTAAGTCTTTAGGAGGAAAAAATGGTTTGTGAGTAAATTACACAAGTTGTGTATGAATGATCTCACTGTACATAAGTTAAGTACCCTGCCAAATTAAACTGAGGTGCTTTTTTTTTTACCCTTTCCCTTTCTATTTGTTTTCTTCTCCTTTCCTATCCATATATCTTAAAACCTTTTTCTGGTGTAACAGGTGAAGCTAAGGAAATTTTTTTCTTACAAGATATAAGAGCACTGGTTCCTGTGTCCTATTAGTGAATTTAAAAAAAAAAAAAGAGGAATGACAGACTCTTAATATGGTGCTTAGTGCCTTTCCCACTGCAATGTTGTAATGTTGTTATGATGACAAAGCCAGCATAAGTGACAAGATTAATTCCATATGTTACAGATGGATACATTTTTCAAAATATTTTTGTGACTAGAGTTACTTATGCAAGCAGTAGAGTCAAGCCATATGTTGTGATCAAAAGCTGAGCTGGTGTTAAATTAGGTTTGTGAATGTAATTGCAATTTGCGGTGTAATTGCAGTTTACAGTTGTCCATGAACAGACTTTCGCTTTGTAGTGAAAGGATCATATGTTGCTGTGAATGTTTTAAACTTTGCACCATAGAGCTGTTGTACTTTTTGGTCTTACTCCATGAAATGCATGAGAAATTTTGCCTTACCTTCAGTGGGGCCAAGATAAGACACCCAGGACTTATTACCTGAAAATTACTGTTTGGCATAATGGAATGCAAGAAGAAATCAATTACTCTTGTTGAAAGCTCTTAACAATTGATGTGCTTTGTACAGCCCTGTTTTAAATCTTACCAAGTTAAATACAAAGTAAATAAACCAGTCGTTCTAGCTAAAAAGATGACATCCTTCAGGAGAGTTTGGCTGCCTGCTTGCTGACTCATTAATACTGCCTTTCATTTGGAAGATACTTGAATGATGATGGATTCTCATCCTGTCTCTAACTATTTGACTTAATGCTGTTTGAGAATTATGAATTCTCCCAGTAGTCATCCTGATTCAACTTTGAATTAATGTAGTTGCCTAAAGATGGTTTATAGTTGAGCTTTCCTGATTCTTAAGTATTTTTTTTTCTGCGCTAACTCTGCCTCCCCAGCTTGGATGACTGGGATTGTTTGAATTCTATGCATGGGTTTTAAAACTTGTATGTTAATTAAAAATACGAAAGGTTTTGTTAGACTTGCCTCATATACTTCTAGTAATAATATTTAAAAGTCAGTCTTTGGGAATCTTTTCAATTAACCTCTGATCCTTTAGGGAACAAAACTATGCAGATGCTTTTCATCTTTTTGACTTCTGATATATATAAAGTCAACATACACAGAAATTTTGTAAGATTGGGTGTGCATATTGTGTCACTCTGACAGAATAAAATACATGAGCAGACTCTTCTTGAATGGGTATGTGTATTCTTGTGAGTGCTGATTAACTTTGTCAGAGTCCTGGCAGACTAATGCTGGCTGGTAGTTGAGTGCAATAAGCCCTCTGATAAATGGCAGTGGTATTGTAACAATCAGTGCACATCTTAGTTTCCAAGACAGAAAGTGCTATAGTAGTGTTAGAGATAAATTTGTTCTTTTTATTCTAGAATCAGATTTTTTTAAAAGCTTCATGTCAGCTATAAATACTATCTTTTGAAATAGGCATGAAATAGTTTTTAATATGTTCTTTCTCATACTTATCCAGCTAGGAGAAAACCAGTTGTAAAACCACAGACGTTTTGAACTGTTGACACTGCTTAAATTATTTACTTGCTTGAATATTATATGTAGGTTCAAGTCAAGCAAACTCACAAGGGGAAAGGTGTGTTAAAACATTTCATTATAATTCCCAGCCTCCTTTTGAATTTGTTTCATACAGGCTGCTGCAGATCCAATGTCCTCCTCTGATGCACCAGAAGATGGCCCAAAGGAAACATCAAGTGTATCGCAGAATATCTGTATGTTTCTGGTTTGACTGGGGAGGGTGTATCACGTTGGAAGTACATTAAGCTAAATGTCTATGCCTTTTCCTTACCTAATAAGGATGTGGCTGTTAGCACAAAAGGGAGAAGCGAATGAGGTCGTATCTGGCTTAATCTGTTCATGATTTGTAGAAGGGCCCAGTTGCGTAAACCAAATTTGGAAAGAGCAATGACGTATCAATTGTCAGTTTGCTGCTCCCATGTTTTCAGAAGAAAGTAAATGGGTTTTAATAGATATACTCAGCTATTCTTTTAAGCTCAGTTGTTGCTCTCTAGGCCAGAGATGGATAAGTACGTTTGCTTCAGCGTTCTGGCATCTAGCGTTACGACGTTCAATCAGTTGTCCCAGGTGGAACGCTTTGCCCATGCCAGCATGATAATATTTTGATATGAAGGCCAAGCCTGCGGGATGTGGGAATAGAAGTGTTCCAGCCAAAACTGTCTTTTGAAGCCCAGGAAGAGTATCAGTCCTTACCTTTTAGTGGTAAGGATCAGATAATGACAGACATTTCTTTCTCAGGAGGAGAAGAAAACAAAGGCTTCTTAGGATTTGCTTTGTGTTTATTGATATACCATTGTGTTGTTAATGTATACAGTCATTATTTTGAACAATAGGAACATTCAGGTTGTGTTTTCTGGCAAATAATAGGCTCTGAACCACCTTAGGGCAAATTAGTGGGTAACAGCAACATTAGTGTAATGCTGAAGTTGCTGAATAATCCCTAGGGATCACTGCTTTCAGAAATAACAATCATGGGAGCAAACAGAGCCTTGACTAAAGCTATGGGAAAAGCATTCAGACCTAAAGAAGCAGATTAATTTTTTATGTTGCTTTTTTCTCCGGATGAAGAAGTTGGTTTAATAAAAACTGTAGCTGTTCCTGAGAATGTTTTCCTTGATTATGTCTTTAAATGATAACATCTGGTACTGCACTGTTATAGCAGTTTTTCTTCACATGAAACATTATTCAGTTCAGTTCTGAATATATGTGTGATGTGAAGGCTGGAAAATTAATAAAAGGAAATCCTTTAAGGGTTACTGAATACATAGAAACCGCTTTCAACTGGGGGAATCTGAGCCATAAATAGCTTTAGGCTAGGAGAGTATTTGGGGAGGGTATTGTGCGTGCTTCCCCATTTCCTATACTCTTCCTTAGATATCCACTTTTGACCATTGTGGGAGGCAGGATATTTGCTTAGGTTGATTTTGGTTGATCTACTATGGCTTCTTTCATGATTATGTGACTGAGAGTGCTACAAATGCAACAGCCCTACCTCTTCTCCTTCCTTTTACACTCATGTTTTCCCCACCCCCTTCTTAGCATCGCTGTTTTGGCAGCAACATGGTCTTAGATCAGACCATACTGATTGCAACACACTGTTCTTGGGTATTGACCATGAAGCAGTAGACTGCTAAAATGCTAAGAAGGATGTTGAAGGGTGGCTTTTGTTTTGGGTTCTGGTTTTTTTGACATAAAATCATGAGATAAGTATTTGTGGGACAGATCTGGGGCCAGAGCCACATGGTTAAACCAGATTCATGAAACAAATGAATGTGTGGTAGGAGGCTGTAATTTTATCTGCATCTTTGACATCCTGCCTGCAAACTGTTCACTAACCTTTATTTTTCTCCTGGGACTGCAATCCTATTCCAGGGTTCTGGACCACTTGAGACCTCTGCTAACTTATGCAGCAGCTTGCCAGAGAAAGAGAGTTGGTTGGAAACAAAACTCTGCTTTCCTACTTGATGCTTTTTTTCCTAAGATGCATTGCAGCTTAACGATAACTCATTCAAAGTTACTATGTTTCCCGTTGATGTAAAACTGAAGCTTGTCTGTCTCAGTTAATGAGACTTTCTGACATTTAACAAACAATTGTGATAGATCTTCCTATTTTCCATGGCAAGCTTGACGTAGATGGGCTGAAATCACGTTGTACCATTTTGGTCTTAAATAGCTTGTTGTTGAAACTAGGGAATAATGATTGGTTTCCTGACCTGAATACCTGTTAAGGTTTAATTTTCAATTGTATACTGATCCCTGGTGTTTTAATCACAGGAAAGGCTAAGATTGGTACTGTAGGTATCCTATATGTGCCAATACGTGCAGGTGACTTTACCAGCATACTCACACCATTGTACATGTGTTGCTATAGTTTATACAGATAAAATCCCAAAAGGGAACGCTTTTGTTCTAGAATGAAAAAAAAAAATGCCTTTTTTTTTTTCTTTTCAATTTAGTGTATACTTTTTCTAAGTATTCTTTGCTTCTCTATCCACCTCACCTGCCACGCAGCTTCTCTCATTCCCTTACTGAACTGCATGGACAACCTGTCCCAGTGTCCACAGGGTAGGAAACCTGGACTGAGACCCATGCTTGGAGGCAGCCTCTCCAGTGGTGGCACTCTCAATGATGTAGCCTCAGAATTGAATGTAAGATTACAGTGGTAAATCAATGGCCTTTTAGCTCTGCTCTGCTGTTTAGTGGTGACATTTTTATTTTCTGTTTTACTTACCTGCACTTTATAGTCATGTATGCTTTTCTTTTCTATTTTTCTTTACATTTATAGCTGATGCAGATGCATTTAAAATTCTTCTGGAGATGAAGATGAAGAAGAGGCAGAAAAAACCTAATTTACCAAGTACTGTGACTGAGCTTGACACCGAGGATGGGTCTAAAGTATATGTGGTTGGAACAGCCCACTTCAGTGACAGCAGCAAAAAGGATGTAGTGAAGGTAAATACTAAGTGGAAGTCCTTCAGCAGCGTGTTTATGATGAAGTTAACTTCACATTAAGTAGAATGAAGTCCAACTCTGACTTGGTTCTGTGCTGTAACCTCCAGACTCTGCTTTTCTCAAGTTAGCTGTTGGAGGGCTAACAGCGCTGTGGGATGAACTAAGAGGCAGCCATATTATCTTAGTAATTTTTTGATGCGATACGTTGCTCTCCCATCCCAAAGATTTTTATTTGCCCTTAAACAACAAATGTAGATACAGTGCCAGTGTTAAAAGTAGAAGTCTCACTAGCGAAGCTTACCCTGCCTGTCACGATAAAGCATCACGTCACGCTGACAGTGTGTACTGTGGTTGTTGCATACTCACTGCGATGGGGAATGCTGAGAAGATGCGAAGTCTAGAACAGAAACTGCAGTTTACAGCTTCTCTGTGCCCGGGGTGTATAATACTGAGCTGTAAAACCATGCTGCCCCAAACTTGAGAGTGGAGTACAAGATACAAATAGGTCCGAAGCTCTAGTGAAAGTAGGAACTATTTCATACTGTACCTCATGTGAAGTCTGCAGTTTAGAGTGGCTTTATTCTTCAGGACCTAGAGCGGGAGGAATCTTGTGCCAGAATCATCAGCCCTGGTTCTTAGAAAGCTTATTCTAACTGAGATTACAAATGATCACAGAGTGTGGTCAAAGGAACTTTGTGAATGTGAAAAGTTTAACGTCAAGATTTTTTTCCCCATGCACACACACCACACCACCCCCACCCCCCGCACAATTCGTTCTCCGTCTTCCTGTCCCAAAGCATTCAGTAGCTAAAGCGTTTCACTGTCGTCTTCCTTAATGTTTTTCTCAGTACATAGCTGTTTGGAGAAGTCTTGTTTACTCTTTTGCTGTTCTTTCAATTGAAAATGATTGCTAGAACATGCTTTTATTAAGTCCCTTTTCTCATAAAAGTATCAATACTGGCTGCATTTCTGTTTAATTTTTCCTAAACTGGTGTAAATAAATTCATGTTTTTCAGACAATACAAGAAGTGCAGCCTGATGTAGTTGTGGTGGAACTATGCCAGTACAGAGTTTCTATGTTAAAGATGGATGAAAAGACATTACTAAAGGAAGCCAAAGAAATAAATCTGGAAAAACTTCAACAAGCTATAAAGCAGGTATGATTCCCACAGAGAGAATTAAGGGCCTGTGTCAAGAACAATTTGTCAACCGAATTGTTGCAACTTGTTACAACCAAAACCAGTGTTCCTGCCAGCTGAGAACCTAATACTGCTCACAGAGGTGAGAGTACTGTTCCAGTGGCAAAGTTAGGTTTGGTATTTTGTTTTCAGCTGGAGTATTGAGGGCTTCTGTTCACAACAGGATTGTTTGGGCAGTTGTTGACCTAGGCAGGAATCTTCCCGGGTTTAACAGTTGCTCCATTTGCAAGATACAAGTTTAACTTTAATTGTAATGCTCCACTAATACACTGAAATATGATTACTATCCCTGCAATCTGCATCTGTATTGCAGCTATTTAAGGAGCACTTAATTTTGGTGTTGTCTGTCATGATCTGTCAAGTTGCATTCCTTCTTCGTCCTAGTGTGTTGCTCTTTTTAATTCCCATCCACTTGTCTTTTGACTAGTTTCTCATTGACAGTGGGCCTTGAGGGAGGTTTTTGAAAAATCTGGGCTGAAAGGTGTGGGATTCTATTGAAGTTATAACTGCTCTGGCCATTGGATGCTGTCTGGGATGTGTGTGCAGAACAAGTGTTGTCCTGTATTCAGTTTCACCCAGTTAGCTTGTATTTAAGTAATTTTAAGCTAGGCACAGTGAAACAGCACAAAGTTGACTTAAATGACAGGACGTTTGATTAGAATGGCAGTATGTGGTCAATAGCAAAAACAGTTTCCAGTGTCCAGTTGAATGAACAAATTCATAGATTGTTATTTTGGTTGTGTGGTAATTATATACTGGAATTGTTTTATTGATGTAATTGGGGAATTTCCAGGACTGCACCCCCCATAAGATATAATCTGCATACATGCAGGGACTAGGGGCTAGTCTACTTGTATGTGTATGTGTGCATGTGCACATAGTGTCTTAGTGCAGGCTTTCTGACTCATAGAGTTAGGCAGTAATGCGTCTCCTCTTTATTTATGATTTATGTCCTATCAAAGGAAAGAACATTGCAAGACGCTTGCATATTGCATGAATTACTACATCCATCTGTTTATTTTAGGTAAGGTGGATTGTTCTGATGCGTGTAGCCGAAAGAATGCATGTTCACAACAACCAGAGCAGCATAGCTGTGCGTCTTCTGACCTTGTAAACGGGCACAAAAGCATTTTTTTTCTTAAATCAAAGCTAAATGCAACAGTTTTTGCTGTGCTTCTCTGTTAAGAGGAAAAGGACAATGAAAATAAAATAGCAGTCTTTTTTTCTCTGTGATGTAAATTTGTGTAGGCAGCTTTGTAATTAGCACTTCCTACTAGGGCTTGAAGTGATCTTGTGTGCAGACAGTAGGAATTGCAGAGTGTGTTGGCTCCAAAGCCAGAGAATAATACAAAGATCCTTCCTGTTGTTACAGCTCAATCTTAGTCTCCTTTGTCACTGGGGATAATTCAAATAATAATATTTGGACATTGTGCCTTTTAAATAATATATTTCTCTGTTCTTAGTTTAAACAAACAAACAAAAAAAATCCAGCCTTCCCCCTGTGATTCAGTAGCAGCATGGGTTATATAGGGAAAACCAGGAAAAACAGCCCAACTGTCTGATGCTAAATTATAGTGTCTTTGTTTTTCTCTAGTAAAAATCAAACCAGCTGATGAGTTGCTCAGTCATGCTTCAGTTGCCCTCTCTTACTGAAATGTGCATTTGGGCCCAAAAGTTGCACGAAAAGTCAAAACTGCTTGTAACTTTCATCCTTGAGTATCAAATTAGGAAAAGAAAACTGTGTCTTTTTATAATCACTTGCGTAAATCTTAAGCAGCAAAATTGCATTTCATTGCTCTTAATTGAAGTTGGAAACTGAGCAGAGTGTTCATATGAAACTATTATACGCTTGCAGTGGGTCACTGGTATTCACAGCTTATCAGGCAACTGTTGCAGGTTAAAAACAGCCTTCCTCCAGTCCCTCCTTGAATTTCAAAACCCTTACAGTTGTTTGCAGAGAGCTTACCTGTTTGCTCTCCGTTAAGCAAAGCAACACAGTGCAGACTGGTATCTGGCTCACATGCGGATTACCTGAAGATGCACAGCAACAAGTTGGCTTAAACCAAACTGGAAGACAGGTTTTGTCTTATCTTCTCCCCTGGCTTCCCGCTTCTGCTGTCCCTTCTGCGTCCATACCATGGCCGCGTGGCAGTCTGAACAGGGTTTGCTTTTTAGCTGCATCACGTCCCTGTGTGGCTGTACGATTGCTAGTCCTGACACAAGAGGAGGAGTTGAGAAACCTTGTTCTGGGGCAGAAGAGAAAGTGGGCTGGTGGCAGCAAAGTCTTAGCTCAGCATCACTTTTTTTTAACCTACTCCTTTAGGCTGAAGTTACCTGTGCAGGAATATATTGTTAACGTTGGGGTTTTTTAATGCTTCTGGCCAGTGAAAAAGCTCTCGTTGTATACAGTGTAATGCAGCCCTCCATGTTTAGGTAACCTACAGGATTGTCCTGTTAAATAAAATGGATATCATGTGTATTGGTAGATGACAGGTACATCCACATGGACAGAAGCAGGTCACCGCTGCCTTCACTTGCGCTTTAAAGTCTCATGTCCAGTGCGCTTGCAGCAGTAGGAAAACCAGTTCCAGGCGCCAGGTGGCAAGGCTTTGTTTGCACAGGGCTGTGGCCATGGGAATTAGGGTTTTTAAAAGACGACATTCAGAGGACTGAAATACAAACGGTTTGTTTCTGCCCGCAGTTCTGCAGTTAGTGCTGGATCTGTGACTTGTTATGCAGTCGAAGAGTAGCGCCAAGGCCCCCCTCCTTAGGTTGTGTTCCCATACGTAGTGTAAGTGTTTAGGTGCTGAGTCCGAGTGTGGTGGAAGATTTATCTGCTTCAGAAGCCCTCTGGCAGCTGCCAATAACAGATGCCTGGGGAAAGGCATTAGAACCTGCAGTCATGCTTGCCTGGGTATTTCTCTCTCTTCCTGTCCTTTTCACCGTCTCCATGCTAGTCATGGTGTTAATAGAGTATATCTTCCTCAGTCATCCTTTCCCAAGCCTCATGAGTATTTAATATGTTTAATCTGTTCTTGTATGTTTGGTGTTTCTTTGCACATTTTTCTAGTTCAGGCATCTTGTTTTCAAGACAGGAGTCCGCTGAAGATTGTACATCAGTGCATTGATGTTTCTATTTTGTTCCTTTCCTGGTAATCCCTCTCACTCTTCTTGCTTTCTGACTGCTATTGAGCACTGGACTGATAAAATTGGTGTTTCACTTTCTCTCTCCTGTGTGCTAATAGCTCTGCATCCCTCTGCCTGTGCAGTTAGGTTTCTGCTTGTGCATTGTGTTTATGGCTGGTTTATCTAACCTGTGAAATTATTCCCAGCCACTCAGGATTTAATGTTCTTTTGCAGTCAGCTTTCCTTTATCTGACACCAAATAATCTGGTATTGATAATAGTCTCTTTTACTGTTTTGCTGCCATTGTTTTTCATACATTTTGCTCTTTATCCCCCAACACTTTCTGGCTGGCCAGTTGTTGCTGGTTGCTGCTACATACAGCTGCTTGTCACCTTTTATCTTTTTGTTGCTGAGCAAATACGGCAGGCACTGAGTTTCATGCAGGTTAAGAGCACAAATGACTCAAACACACTTCAAAGATGCATCCCTCTCTTAGCCAGCAGGATGAATCTTTCTGTCACAGTGTAAAAATGCAATTTCAAAAACATCAATCCTGAAGGGGAGATCAGCCAGCAAATAACCTCAGGTTGCGTTATCCTCATTTTCTTTTCTTTGTGGGCATCTTTTCTGAACTTCTGGAAACCCTTGTCCCCGAGGCTTTTGAACTGGATCTCAAGGATGCTGAAAACTCTTTTTCTCACTGCCCTTTTTCTTCCTCGTCTCTCCCCAGGAGCCCAGCTCCCCGTCTTTCTGCCACGCTTGCTAGTTTGTACCATGATAATGCAGATAATCAACTGGCTTTGAAAACAGCCCCTCTCTTTCACCATTTCTGGTCCTCAGTGACTCTTGAGTCTGCTTAACTGCAGAAACTGCCTACAGCCTTTGGAAAGGTCACCCAAGCATCAGATCTGGCACAGGGTGGGGCATTTGAGCATGGCGCTGGGAGCAAGGAATGGAGACCAGGACCTTCCTTTGGTAATTTCAGGCAGTTACATTAACTCAAGCTATCCTGTGTGACCTCATCTTCAGTTGCATGAAGCTGGCGATATAGTAGGAAATTAACCTTTGGTGAGGGAAGGGGGAATGTCCATTTTGGTAGCAGTATGGACTGATGCCAAACTGAAGGAGATGCATAACCAAAGTACAGGTTCCGCTTGGAGACAGGTAACACTCAGCCACTGAGTCTTAGTCGTAAAAATAACTGGTTGAGGACAGCCAGAGCTGGACAGAAGGAACAGCTCTGAATGGATTTGTTCGAGATGTTTTTTCATTCCTTTTTGTAAAAGGAAGAGAAGGGAAATTTTGCGTAAGTATATGTAAGATAATCTTTTTCTTTTTAAAAAGAAGATTCTTGATTTTTAGGTCTCTGTTCAAAAAGTAATTGTGCAAGGAGGGGCCTTCAGTCTGCTTGTGGGACTGTGAGGTCTTTTCTAAGGTCTTATGTGCTAAAGTCATGTACTGCAATTCTTGCACGACGCTAGATAACCTGTGTTTCTGCATCTGCTAACATAACCTCAGCCTAGTGTTTCTGAGGATTGTGGAAGTGTTTATGATTAGGCCACTAGCTATTTATTTCCCTTTCAGTATCTCTATGAAGTGGCGTTCCCTGTACGTTCAATGGAATATACTGTTGTGGTCCCCTCCCCCCCCCCCCCCCTTTTTTTTTTTTTGTAGCCGGAAAGACTACAGGGAACTCATTATCAAGAAAAATTAAATGTACAGTATGAGCTGTTTTACCATTTGGTTATTCAGACACTTTCTTCAAGCAGGTGGAGTAAATATAGACTGAATTAGTCTGGCTGCCATACAATTCTGTTGAAAGGGAGGATACTTTGGCTACACACTGAAGTGAAGAGCTACTTCACAACTGATACAAACAGAAATAAAAGAGCTGTATTGATCAGTGAATTGGCTCCAAAAGGTAGCTTCAGTGCTGCTTCTTCATTAAAATAATGAATGGGTTTTTTCATGACTGTGAACGGTGCATTATTCTTCCGAGAAATCCATACAGCTTGTTGATTTTCTTTTTTTCTTTTTTTTAATGTTTTTCTCCCTTTTTGCCAGAATGGAGTCATGTCTGGATTGATGCAAATGCTGCTTCTGAAGGTTTCTGCTCACATCACAGAACAGCTGGGAATGGCCCCAGGAGGAGAATTCAGGGAGGCTTTCAAAGAGGTGTGAACTTGAAATGTTTTTTCTGAGGTCAAATTACTGGCCTTTTGCTCCCAGAGTCAAACTAAATAAAACCATTTGTTAGTGACTAGAAAAGAGCACTCTGGCCATGCTTGTCCTGAAGCCTATGAAGTAGTAAGAATCATCTTTGGCTTCAAAGTGTACTCGAAAGTACAGAGGTTTGTAGCACTAAGTGGCATGATAGCAACTCCAAAAAGGCTTCAAATGGTAAGGGTTTTTCCTGATGATATTTCTGATGGCATTTGTTTTCATTTAATTAATAATTTATTTATTTGTTGCCTGTTAAATAATTGGTTTTGAATTCTGCATATGGATCCTGGTCCCACTGTTGGTGGTGTCAGGGTTTCAGGCTGTGAAAACCAACTCTAAAGCATTAATGAGATCTAAGACCTTCATCTAGAAAGATTGTTTGGGGAAGTAAAATATCTGACTGGTCCATTACTCCTATCTGCTCTTTTAATATTCCCTTTTGTTCTACTGACAGCTGTGATACTGGGAAGTAAATAGTAGCTGGACTTCTACTGTATATCACAGTTACTCTTTTTTTTTTTCTGGGAATACTGAGACACTATTTTCACTGTATGTATCCACCGTGCAGACTGTATCTTGCTATTTTTATGTAAATTAGGTAGTAAGAAAATCTGGGGTACCATAGCTGTTAAAGAATCTGGAATAATTTGGTGTATTTATCCTTAAGAAAAAGAAAACTGTTTCAAGGCTTTTTTTCCTGAGCATTCCAGACCAGAGTGAAACATTTGAAGTGTTTCCCATTTTAAGTGGGGAAGAAAAACATATATATATTAGCTTTGTCCTGTTCTAAAGTGGTTGTTTGAAGTTTTTAAACAGGTATGAGTAGAAAGAATTTTCTAGAAATTCTGTACTGTGCTAAAATTTGTCAGTCTAAGCTACAGCAAAGTCTCACCTCACATTGTCTTGTGGTATCTGGCATCAGTTCTTGTTTCATAATCTCCTCATTGAATATATTTTACCATGACAAACTGACAAGTTAGTGATCCTGACAAATCCTAGGTAAAAGCGAAATGACCACAGTTCTTTCACCTTAGACTTTATTCAGACCCAGATAGACATTGAGCCCCGTCTGTTCACCTTTAGTAGTCATAAGCAGGAGCTTTCTGCTTAGGTAAAAGTAACCTAAAGAGGGTGGCGTTACAACTTCCATGTTCTTACTGTAATACCTACTGCATCTTGTAGCTGGTGTATTCCTTTATGAAGTATTTTGGAAATTTTATTTACTGCAGAGCCAAAATATTTTTTGATGTTGAAGTATGACACTACTTGCTCTTTTTTAAGATACCTCGTATAACACAATAAAACAAATGTTCTCTTAATAAGGGTGTACTGTGCTGCAGTACGAAATGTTGACTAGTGATTTGTATCTTCTTTTTCAGGCCAGTAAAGTACCTTTCTGTAAATTCCATCTTGGAGACCGACCCATCCCTGTTACATTTAAGAGAGCAATTGCTGCACTTTCTTTCTGGCAAAAAGTCAAGCTTGCCTGGGGCCTTTGCTTCTTATCTGACCCAATCAGGTATGACCCAATGCATCCCATATGTTTATCAGGGTGAATTGTTCAATTCTTCAGTCTGACTTCAGTATGAGCTGGAAGTCCTCGGTACGCAGCCTGATGCAGTGAAACTTGAAGTTAGTGAGAAGGATAAATATACAAACTACCCTGCAATCATCCATATTTTTGGAAAGCAAGCTGGCTTTCTGATCTTGTTCCAGTTTTCTTTAATTGTCTTTTGATACATTACTTCCAGGTGAAGTGAAAGATTTGGGGCTGGAGAATTCCTAGTGTACTTAAAGAAAGACTTTCTTCTTTTTTTTTTTTTTATTTTTATGCTGAAAATAAAATCTTTCCCACTACTGTGTGGATATTGTAAATAGAGTAGGGCCTCAGTATGCTAATTTATACCTCCTTAAGATTTCCAGAGGACTTGGGCCTGCTGTGCTAAGTCACATCTGGATCAGGGCAGCTTGAGAACTGAATCTGCTGTCTGACCAGCTTTTTGGAACAGGAGAAAACATTTAAAGTCTGTGGACAACATGTGGATTTTTAATGATTATTGCCTTTATAAAGGGACATTGTTAGGAACTTTCGCCTTACACTAATACTTCCGACAGCTATTTTCTTGCTCAATTTGGTTTCCCCTGCCCTTCAGAGACATCCCTGTGCCAAGTTTGCTTCCTCTTTCCACAAGTAGGTGTGCGATAACTTGCTTGAACTGGGTGAGAACACGTGCACAGCTGTTGTCCTAAATTCAGCCTGCTCCTACCAGACGTCGCAGTGGTGGGAGGCTTGCCAGAAATGGGTTCCCTGTGCATGTGGTCCCTGAATCTCAGTGCCTCACTTACACCTGGTGACCAGAGCTCTACACAGCTCATGAAGTGAATCTGTGGCATTTTTTCCAGGCTTTTAAAATTGGACCAGGGCTCAAACTGTAGTCTGGTCAATCAAACCTTCTGTTTTCCAGTTTTAGCATTTACTTAATTGTCCTTTCCTATAAATAGTTGCTGTTACATTCATCTGTAAAATGAGTTTGACCCTCTTTCAATCCATTAACTACAGTTCATGTGCAAAGTAAGTTTGCTTACTTACTAGTCTGATACCAGCATGAAACTATTTGCAGGCTTTTGGGGAGCATTGGAGGATATATTTCTCTGCAAGTTCTCCCATTCGTTTATCGATCGTAAGAACATTTTGGTTTTCAACTGCAATATTAAGATAATTATGGTATGTGCACACTAGCTTCCCACTGAAGCTTGGACATAACATCTCAGTTGTTGTTGTACAATTGATTGATCTCTTACCTTTATTTTTAAAAATAACATGTGGGTAGGGGTTGAAAAGGAAAGGTGTTTGTAATTGTGAAGTTGTTGAGGGAGGGGGGTACTGTGCACCCAGCCATCAACATGAGATTCTGCAGAAAATGGAGTACTAATTCAGCATCAAATTTGTGTCAGTCTGATAGCTTTTCTGTGATCTGTTGGAAGCTAGCAATGCATTTCTCCTTTTGGTTGTCCCTGTTGACATTTGTTAGTGTCCTTTTGATCTTGGAAACTAAAGAAAGCATGTTTGGCATCATTCTTCAGTAGACAGTGATGCAAAAATAGATGATTCTGTTGCCACAAACTGTGACTGTACTACAGCTGTGGGTGCAAACAGAAGGTTAACAGCACCTACAAAAAATATAAAAGCTCATTATATTTACTCCTGCAGGTTTTGTTTGTTTATTTCCTGCCCATTTCCTGTTCTGCTCAGGGAATTGATTTATAACTTTGACTTCCCTGCTGAAGACCTGTGATTGACACTAGGAACCTGCAGAACTCTTTCAATCCCCTGAGACTGTGCCTTATGGTGTGCTTTTTTTGTTCCTTAAATAGAGCCTCTGTGTGTTCACTGATCAGATCTGCTTCCTCGGGAGTGCTCTGTGTTGCCTCTTCTAAGCTTTATTAATATACACTGAAGGTGGGGCACCATGATAACTGTTTCCTTTGGAGCGCTAGTGCTTTTGCTCAGTTGAGTTGTCAGCTTTCAAACTGGGAAGGGTGAAAATCCAGTTGCAGTGCCTAAAGACAAGTGACCTCTCTTCTTTCCCTTTCCCTCACTGTAGAGGCATTGTTAGGTATCCAGCTTTACAGGTTCGGGGAGTTTGCTTTGGTTTTGAGGAGGAGAACTAGAGAGTGTGGGTTTATGTGAATACTCTGTATAATACCCAATTGTTTTTATTCATTGGTGTGTCTGTATTGGGCTTTAAAAACATGACAGATACTGAGAAAACTTACCTTTCTTTCAGTAAAGATGATGTGGAGAAATGCAAACAGAAGGATTTACTGGAGCAAATGATGGCAGAAATGATTGGAGAATTTCCTGATCTTCATCGAACGATTGTCTCAGAACGAGATATTTACTTGACCTACATGCTGAAGCAAGCAGCAAAGCAGATAGAACTACCTCGAGCTTCAGAAAGTAATTGTTTTAAAGCAGATATGATAACCAGCAAGGTGTTCTTTGTGTACTACTCCGAAGTTCAGTTCTTCTCAGGAAATCTGGGATGTTCTGTTCATGTGTGCCACGTGTCACATAAGATTACAGTGCTTAAAAATTAAAAAGGGATATTACTCTTCTGTTGCAACCACCTATAGAAGTAAAGAATTTTCATAGAGCAGTAGACTCCAAATTATGATTTCTTTCTCATTGTGGTGTTTAAAACTGGAAAATACTAATTAGCCTGACAACTTTTTCAAAAGGCAGGCATCTGGTATTACAGCACAGCACGGGACAGTCTGGACTTACATTGCCTATCTCACTTCCACCTTGTTACCTCACCAAATTAATTGTCATCGCTAGCTGCTCGGGAGCACATTTCTTGCTTGAAATGTGTGACTCTGAATGTTTCAGCAAGCTATAAGCATACAGAATAATGGCATTTCTCTAGCCTTTGGAAGTATTTTGCTGCTGTATGTGATCTGCATGCCCTTCCTATATATAAGCATACTGAGGTATGGGTTACCTTTTATTTGCTATCTTTAGATACTGTTTGTAATCACTTCAGTGCAGACCTCTGGCACTGTCTTGTGATTGAAAAAGTAGCTAGGGGATTGCACTTGTGTTCTTGTATCTCCCTTGCGTAATATTACCTCAGTGCTGTCTTCATAAAGTTTGTCCAAACACAGAGTATTTCCTGTTAGCTCAGCTGATATGGCTGAAAGAGGCACGGATGCATTCAGTTACTTGGTCCAAAGAGCAGGCTGAAAATTTAGTTTTATTGTTGGTCCTGGTTGGGTCATAAGCCACAAGAGGAATTTTTTAGCAATTCCCCTGCTCTTTTTTTTTTTTTTTTTAATCTCCCTTTAAATCTATCTTAAAAGCTGTCTCTGGATCACTGGTTTAGTGAATGCCTGTGAAACTGGAAGGGGTTTATATGCATTATGAAGGACTTAAAATAGAAGGTAGGACCATAAAAGACAAGAATGTGAGGGACTACCTGACTGATACTCATGTGTCTCAGTCTCTTAGTTAACAAGAGACAACACCAGAGACAGCTTTGTTTAGAAGTTGTGCATTTATATTATATACATATAGTCTGTTCTATGCCTTCATGCTCACAAGAGGCAAAAAGAAAAAAGGGAAAAAAGGGGGGGGGGGGGGGGCGGCACATTTGTACTGCTAGGTGGGGGGGGGGCGCAAATTATATACTTGAGATTCATAGGAAAATACAAAACCCCACAATTCAAATGATGAGAAACAGAGCATCATCACCATTGTCCAAATCATTTGCTATTGTAGGGACATAGTAAGGGGACATTCCTAGATGCTATTTGCAGGACTCAAATACACTTTTGGTCTGATATATTCCTAAACTAGGTCTGATTTGTTCCTAGCCTTTGCCTTTGTCTGACTATTTGCCTGGGTGAACTCTTCCAAAGAGCTTGCAAATGAAACGTGCACCTTTAGTTTTTCATTCTATCTTTATTCCACACAAAATATTCTGCAAGAGGGATAAAAGTTTCTTCCAGGACTAAGTTTCAGGTAGGGCTTTAAACAGCCCATTCTGCTGAGGTGCTGTGCTCTGCCTCCGTTGTAGTTGCAGATCTGATTTAGAGCAACCCTAGAACAGGCTGAGAAAAGGCAAACCCAAAGAAACAGTTTTGAAAATGTGTACAATAGTTCTAGTGTTTTCAATACAGTTTTGTTTCTTTTTGGCAGGGGGCACTGCCTTTCAAATTTTTTTTACTTACTCCTGGAAAAATAAAGGGTGGATATTTAAAGCAAGACAGTGACTCTTGCTCACATTTTATATTTCTGTATTATATTTACATATAATTTTCCCCATTGGAAAGCAGCCTGATTACTATTACATAGAAAGTTTTCTGTGAATTATTTTTATTGTGGCATGGTGCCATTTTCTCATTGGGGGAGAGGTAATCCCAAAACTTTCAGGAACAGCATTTTAACTTCTACTGGATGTGTCAGATTTGGATGGTAGATGGGAGGTGAGGGTGAGAGCCGGCACATGTTGCAGTGGTCTAACGGTGACTGGCTAGCTGCTGCGCACAAATGGTACGGGTTTTGCTGTTACCTGCTGAGACCAGGTCTGTAACAGTAAACTTAAGGGCAGGTCTCAAGCACTGTTCTCTGTTCATTCTGCTTGTTGGCCCAGGTCTTGCCACAGTTCGGATGTGTGCCAGCTGCCACTGTACAGAGTGGTGGAGAAAGCTCTCTGTTCAGGAGACAGCAGAGACCAGGGCTGTTCCTGATAAGCAGTACAGAAACATAACCCACACAGGGAAGGAAAGAAATCAGTTTAGCTTGCATCTGCTGAGCCTCTCACCCTGAGGCTGGAGTATGAGCCCTGGCCAGGTCTGTTTACTGAAACAAACATTTCCTGAAAATCCAGAAACCTTGCTGATTTTTTTTCAGACTTCCAACGTAAGAAGCAGTAGGTAGGATGAGTATTAACTTTTAGTATGTAACAGAGTTCTAATATCATAGAATCGTTTAGGTTGGAAAAGACCTTTAAGATCATCCAGTCCAACCATTAACCTAACATTACCAAGTCCACCACTAAACCAGTTAAGGGCAGAGTAGCGATTTCATGTTTCCTGGCTTGGTGGCTGGATTATTTATAATGAAAGTAAATATCTAGTAGTAAGAGTCCCTACCTCTTGGAAAATGCAATTTTGTAATCTCACGCATAAATTATTTATTTATAGCTTGAAATGTGTTCTTTTACTGATGTGTTCCTCTCTCTCCATCTCTCTTTCTCAGCTGAACCTAGAAATTATATCCCAGCGGTTGTGGTTGGTGTTGTTGGGATGGGTCATGTACCTGGAATTGAAAAGAACTGGAACTCCGACTTAAACATCCAGGAAATAATGAGGTAACACTCATCCTTCTCTATGTGTTGACTTAACAGCTTCTCTTGCTAAAAGATAGCAATAATTGGTTTGCTTGGGGTTTTTTTGGTGGTTTGTCACAGCTTGAAGAAATCTCACTACTGTCATCCCTGCCCTGTGGGTCCCTGCCCTGACTTGCCGTGCAGTGCTTACAGATTATGCTTACAGCAAAGGAAAAGAAAATATCAAAGGAAAAAAGTAAATAGTTGGATATTGAGGGAAATAGAGATGAGAAGATGCCCTTGTCTAGAAAGAAAATTCATTGATCCACATTTAAGGCTTTTAAAATGAGAATTCAGATGAGGGCTATAGAAGACGGTGAAAACAAAACCAGGCTTCCAGTCTAGCTTAGGTAGATACAAACTGTTGGGTTCAAAGCTTTTGTTATGTCAGGACACTGCTGGCTCTGGCAAGCTTCCTATCACAGTTGCTCATAGCCTATTTTTAACTCTGTATATATAAATAATAACATGTTTTAATGTGTATACCTAAATATGGCCTGATTTAAGCCACATATCCGGTGAACTCTCGCTCCAAAGTATCTATTAAAATAGATTTATGTGCTTTGTAAAAGAAGGAATTGAAGAACCAAAATGTTCAGACTATGTGTATCCTATAAAGCCACAAAGGTTGGGACTTTAGAAATGTGGGAGGAATTATAGTATGACCTGGTAGTACTGGTCTGGGGTGGTTTAGGATAGTAGCGCCTTTCACATACTGGCACTTTATCTCATCACATCCATTTACTGTGTTTATGTAAACACCTCGCCCGTCTCTTCAGAGACTCTGAGAAACAGAAAAGACTGTGCCCCACCTAAACAGTGTATGTAGGCATTTAAAATATGATTTAGAGAGACTTTTGGTGTCTAGATCCAAGAATGCAATGTACAGAAGCCCTGCCTAGCCATTCATAAGTCTTTTTTCAAGGCTAAGCCTCGCCTGGAGTCACAAACTAGATGTCCATATTCCTCTGCACCCACGCAAATAACATGTAAAATGAGGTTGCCCAAATCCATATAATTGTATGGTTAATGTTGGTTGCATCATTGACATTACAGAACTGACTACCTGAAAGCCTGACTTCCTGTATATTCCCTTAATATGCAAAATCTTGCCAGTAATAACTTTACCCTAGTTTGAGCATGTGGATCTAAGCTCAGTCTAGTTGTATCCTAATCTCAGTGCATCTAACCTGGTTTGAGTGTGCCCATAATGTTTTTGCACTGCTGTAACTGATTGCTTCTGGATACCGTAGAAACATTCTTTAGATATAAATAAATGAGAACTTGCGGCTGCTTTGAAATGACACGCAGAGACCTCCCTGTCCCCTGCGAGAGGATTATCTGAGTGGCAGCGTAGGCACGCTGTGGGCGCCGGGCCAGCTGGCGTACCGCAGAGCCTGTTAGTGAAGGCGCAGCGCTACGCGTGCATGTTGCTGTGCTTTCAAAGCCAGCTTTACTTTGAAGATAGTATTACCCGTTTGCTTCATACGCTAAGTTAATAAGACTGCTTGAGGGCAGGGGTAGACCTGGTGTACCTGTTGTCCTCTGCCCTCCTGCTTCCAGTGGCCCGTGCAGAGACTTCCAGGTGGCCCTGTGAAGATCTCCAAGCCAGCAATACCTGCCAGACCAGAGACGGCTTCATGCAAAGCCTCTCTGATTTGTCTGCACTGTCCTCTGTGGAGCCCTGGAGGCCAGGAGCGCTGCAGGGGCTTGTCCTCCACGCGCTCATGCTGGGAGCTGCAGCTAGGCTGGTAAGCCTGCCTGGCATCCAGGAGTACGCCTTGCTGAAACACCCCCTCTGAATCTGTGCGGGGGCCAGCCTGGCTCCAGACGTACTCCTTCTGGCTGCACAAACCTGACCAGGTCCTGACACGCGTTATCCAGAATGTCCAAGCTCTGTTTTCCTCCAATACCCTGAATGACAGTGAGTTGACTGTACAGGTGTTGGACTTAGGCTGTGTCCTGTGTTTTTTCTGACTTTTGTCTCTGTGCAGATATGCATAGTAGTATTATAAACAGTTTGACAAACAATATTAACTTCTAGTATTCTACAAGAAGTCTTGATGTTGTCTTAGTTATTTTGATAGGGTGATGGGCAAGTCAAGGTCCATAGCCATTGAGTGGCATCATACATAAGTGCGAAAAGCTTTATTATTATTTATTATTGTTGTCACTGTTTAATTTGGATGTAGCCCTTAAACATGAAAGAATACATTGTTCGTTCATGACACATCTGTTACCTGACAGTCTCTTGCACTATAGGGGGGAAGGGGAGAAAAGATCGTTGTTTTGATTGGAAAATGCCTGTTCTTTCCAGCCATGCGGGTGTTAACATTGTTTTGTATCCTTTGCTTCAGTGTGCCTCCTCCATCAGCTTCAAGTAAGATTTTCAAATTTGTCATAAAAGCAACAGTTTTTGGACTGATGGGATATGGCTGCTACCGACTAGGTCAAAGGACAGTTCAGTTTATTCTCTCAATGCCAGCAGCACAGAGCTATCTTCAGAAGCTGACAGAAATGAGGTCTCAGCATTGAACATCGAGTGGAGGCACTAGGTGAAGAAGGTGGCTGAAAAAGGGTGACAGAGGCAACAAATGTGAACTGGACTGAAAGAAGAGGGAGATGAGGATTCTAGTCAGAGGTGATTGATGCTGAGCAACGCTGAATTGCTGTATAATAAAATATTTGATACTGAAGTTACACCAGCTATGATCTAATGAATAAGCTTGATTCCTGGTAAGAGTGTTGCATGAAACCACATGATTCCAGACTGAGGAAAAAGAAATATGTAGGCAAATATATATATTATATATATGCATACTCTTATATATAATATATATTACTGATGATGTAGTACAGACAGCTTAAAGAGGGTATGTTCATGGCTTCTTTTCCAGAGGAACAGAACAACGCAAAGTAACCTAATTGGCTGCATCTGCTCTGAAGTTCAGGGACACTTGTCTTGAGTGATTCTTTGCTTTTTTTCCCTTGGGTATAATAATACCTAGTGGTCGTTTCTGGTGCCAGACACTTTTACACTTAATTTAGAAGGACATCTTCTCAATGTGTGTTTTATACTTAAAACATTTAGGCTTTTTTTAAACTTAAGAGCTTTCCAAAAATTTCAGAATTGTACAGGCTGTCATACGTACACTGCTCAAATTTTTTACGAGCCTTACTGAAAAACAGGAACGTTGCCTTTAGATTGCATCCCTTGTTACCACCACCAGTCGAATTGTCTTTCTCCTGCATAGAGAAGGTATAGCCACGCCATCAGAATGCAATGTGGTTTGTGTCAGATGTTTACAGGACACTGTGTTCCTTTAGATTAGCTTATTTAAACTGTATTATTTAGCCAAATCCTGCTGGATTCAGTATTGTAAATTTAAGAGACTAGAACTACTGTACAACTTTTGTTTCTCAGACCTTTCATTATTGAGACAAGAAGTCTGGAATTGATAGTACCTGGCCCTCATTTTTGATACATGGAAAATATTTTATTTATCAATGTAATTTCTCAGTGGATGAATATTTTAATCTATTTAATAGAAAAGCAGTGTTCCATTTAGTTCTTCAAAGTAGCTGTAGCATTTTATTTGGATTACCTGCTATTTATACATAGAATTATGGGTACTTTGAACCGCCATGATTTTCTTTCTTAATTATCCAAGACAGCCATCCATCATCCTTTTTTTTTTTTTTTTTTTAATCTTGGGGTCCATATTTCATAGGAACTTTTTTGTATCCTTTATACAGGATTGTCAATGATTGTAAAGTGCCCTCTGCAATCAGCTAGTCCCAGTTCAACAATACAAATAACTGTAATTGTCATATCAAAGTTTTAACCTGATTTATTTGAATGGAAGAGTCCCAGTTGCTCCTCAGGCTCATATACGGTTGCTCATCACTTAAAGTGAGGTTTTTATCTTTATTAATTTCTCTTGGGAATGAAAGATAGGCACCAGTGTGTGAGGCAGGAGGAGGAAAAGGTGCGTTTTTGTGTTTCTTTGTTTTCAGTTGGTTCAATAAAATCAACAGACCGCTTTTAGTAGGGTATATTTCCAAAGCCTTGTGCTGGAAATCATCCCATACGGTCTATTGTTTGCTGAAAGTATGTACATGTATCTTCTGTGCAGTGTTGTCTTTTTCAAGCTTTTTTAAATGGAATTAAGGGTCTAATGCTCCTCTCTGATGGCATTGACTTTGCTGGGAGCTGGTCTGTCCATGCAACCTGATGCGTTTCTGCCTTGCACTTTGGAAATTACTATGAGTCCCAGTGCAGCAAATCATTTAAGTGTGTGTTTATCTTTAAACCTATTAAATCTAACCTGATCCTGCAGACCTGTTAAGACAATGCTAGGTGCTTTTCTGGATCTGGGCCTTACAGTTGTGCAGGGAATAAACCTTAGCAAATGAGAATGGCAGCAATTCACACTTCTGGGACACAAAGTGTAAATGATAATACAGAATACAGTGGAGGCAGGTCCTTTTATTTTCCATCTATCAGTGCTTAAGAAACCACCAGCCATCTGTAGCAAGAGGAAAAGCAGCATTTGTAAACAATTTATAGAAGACTAGAGTGACTGCCTGAATTTTGATTCCTGATCTTTTTTTTTAAGGTTTTATGTATTGTTTACAATTAAGCAGTCCTATTTGAATAATTATATTACATTTTATGTACATTTTTAAAAGATGAAAGCAAAAGCTTAAGCTCATTCTTCTCCTGGCTTTACTGACCTACCAAAATATTGTTTTGTTGGTTGGGTTTTTTTGAGAATTTTTAGCTGGTAGAATTCAATATATGAATGTTTTGCTTTAAGTTATCTACAGATTTTTAAGGTATCTGCAGATCTTTTACAAGCTCTGTAGATCTTTGATATCTGTGCTCAGGTAATTTTACACAAAGGAAAACAAATCTAAGGTAAATTTTAGATATGAGCCTTAAACTTGGGTGGGACTAATGCTAAATGATTGTCATGGAGACATTCTTGCAGACTTAACGTTTCATGCTTTTTAGCCAGAAGTGATTACCATGTAAGCTATCTGTTCATTATTCAGTTATTCTCTCCAGTTAATACCTTAAGTCTCTTGTTTCACTCTCTTACAAAGCATATCAGCAGATTCTTCAAGGAGCCTGTTTGTGGACGGAGAATTTGCAGTTTATCTTCCCACTATTGCAAACTGGCAGATCAAATGCATGCACTGTTTACTCAGTGGCACTGGAAAGCCTGATGGAATTTGCAGAACTAACAATCCTATGAATCCATACGTGAATGCTCAGTGTTGTATATTCAATGTGTTGTACTGTTTATGTAACATAATCAGTGTTTTAGGTCCATTCTTCTCTGTTCTAGTCAGTCCTTTCAGTGTTAACAGCATCCTGTAAAATTTAAATATATGTTGAATTGTCCCAGCCCCGCCTCAATCTTATGAAGCCATATTGTATTTTTTTGGTGACATGTACATCTGTTTTATGCATTTGTACATGTGATGTAAATTTGAAGTATTTTTAACAATGTGTGCCTTTACTCTAAAGTGATTTAAAGTAAACAGCAGTATGTTCTATGATATAAAAAATAAAATATTTTAACCACCATTTCTGTTGAAGGCATTTATTTTCCTTATTAATCAGTGTTTTTATTGAGAACAAACGCTGGTTAGCTAGATCTAGTACATGATAATTTCACCATCTAACACATTTTTCTGGACAAGAATGTCAGTTGGAGTAAACACCTCCCACTGAGGGGCATCTGAGTGTAATGCTGAAGTAGGAACGCTGGTTTCTCTACCTACTATATGTAATTGGTTAAGAGAGGAAAGGATGAGTTTCCCTGCCCTACTGAACACGCAGGGAGGCTGACTTCTCTGTGCAAATACCTAAATTCAGAACCCAGAGATAGGCATGGTGAGTTGCTTTTTTTTGTTGTTGTTGTTGTTCTTGCTTTTCTTTTAATGTCTCTCTTTAGTGCTCTGCTCAGTTGTGCAAGGAGCTGATGGCCTTAGTCCCAGCCCAGCAAAGCGCTCAAGCACTGCCCTAACATCAGGCACAGTCACTTGTGCTTAAAGTGCTGTCCTCTGCATGGGAATTAAAGACCTTTTAAGTGGAAAAGGTGTTGAATTTAGTGGCAAAAAGAGTTTAATCTTTCAAATTGAGTCAGGTAAATCAATACGAGCATTTCTTTTCTTTTTTCCCTTTTAAAAAAAAAAAACCTATTAATGAAAAGACTCTGTATTCATACCCGAAGTAAGTATATATGATAATCTGTATTCCATACAGATAATGTACCAGCTGAATAGTCTGCTGATTTTACACTTCTGTCAATCAGCAGTCCATACCTTTTAATTGTATGTGTGTGAAGCAAAGTGTAGCGCTGTTCTCGATCAGGCAAAGTTCCCTTCGGTTGCACTTGGAGCTGCGTCTGCAAAGAAGTGCCGGGGTAAGCCATTTAGGTGGAAGAAAAAAATTTAAAATACTGTGGTCAAATACTATCCATGGGACTGGCAGATGACACGCTGCACAGCACGTGAGCTATCAAGCACTGCTCAGTCAGGCAGCCTCAGTTTGCACACCCATACACGGAAGGCAGCTGCCTGCTTTCGGAGTGTATCGTTCACCAGCCTTATGTGCATACTGCTGGCCTAGGTCATGTTTATGATGTGTCTTTTCTATACTGAATACTGAACCAAATTAAAAAAAAAAAAAACCAACAGATTTTTGAGGTGGGTTGGTATCACCTGGATTTCCACTGGAAGCTGTTTTTCTGTGTGTGTATTGTCAAAGATCTAAAAGGCATTGAGAAATACATCAAGATGTCTCAAAGTGCCAGGCAGTAGTCGGAACTACACATGGAAAAGAAAAAACACACTGTTGCTTGTGTAACTCTAAGATACTCATGTATGTGTTTTCCTGTTCCTTTCTAAAACTGAAATAAACTTTAATTTTAGATTAGTGTTTTGAGACTGATTTTATTGCAAGATTTGGGGGGGGGGGGTTAAGTATTTGCAGGAGAAGGGTCACTTTTCTGGCTCTTATCCCCTCCCTTGTCGCTTGCCTTGTGCCTGCTGCAGTCTCACCAAAGAGGAGCGAATCATAGAATCGTTTAGGTTGGAAAAGACCTTTAAGATCATCCAGTCCAACCATTAACCTACACTACCAAGTCTACTCTAAGCCAATCAAGGGTAGACTAGACTAAAAGACAATGATCCGATCGTAATACCGGATGATGTTCGGATGTCTCAGCTCACGAAGCAAATTCACTTCCGAAACAAGCATTTGTTTTTCAGCCTCTGTCATCGAGCCATAGTCAAGCTCCTTCCATACCAAGATCTTTCCATCGGCCTTGCGGCACTTGCCGTAGCAACTGGCGCCGATGGTGAGCAGCACCTCATAGTCGTCGGGGCGGCCGGGCATAGCGATGTGACCGCCACAAGTGCCTGGGCAAATGAAGCTTTCCATGCTCCGGGGAGGTGATGGCAGCAAAGATGAGGCCAGCCTTATCCTCGCTCCCAGCGGGGAGAAAGCTGGCAACTGGGGTCATGTGTGCTCCTTTCCATCGCAAGACCTTGCCCTTGGGTCCTGGCTCTGGTGGCTCCTCAGGTAGCTCTGTGCTGTGGTGCGAAGTGAGGCAACGCCTGCTTTTGCTTGTTCGATGTTCTCTCTGTTGGTTCATTGAGTGCTGTATGGGGAAGCTCTAGTGGTGTTAGTTTGGGGGTGGGGGGAAGATGCATGCTGCCACTTTCGCACTTGCCTCATCCGAGATACTTGGTGTTGATGCATCAAGAATGATGCGTGAGGGAAAGTGGAAAGAATCGGTCTTAAACAAACAAACAAAAAAGCTCTGTTACACACTTCTTTCAGTTTCAGTAGGTTGTGTCT